TTTGATAAAAATTGAGCCTCGTCATGTACTTTGATACGTATTACATAGATCCTGAAGTATTTAGAGTACCCTGAAAATTAAAAGGGACATTGTTATGTTCATATTAATTCCGCATTGATAGAGAACTTGGTAGTTTTGCAATGTGTTCACAAGAGTTTTGCCTATTTATGTAACATAATGATGGCGACTGCTGTATTTGAATGTCATGAGAACAGACGTTTTAAAGATGTCATGTATAGCTTGTAGATACTGCATGACATCTCGGAGTAAGTGAGTGAGTGAATATGTTTTACGCCGCTTATAGTAATTTTCAAGCAATATGACGGCGGGGGACACCAGAGGATATCTCGGAACGCGACCCTGTGTATGTCAGTGTGTCTGTGTACATGAATGTGCAGAGGATATCTCGGAAGGTTTACTCCCTAAAGTTAGACGTCCCAAAAGTCATACATCCCATTTGTCAGACAAATCAATCAGGCGTGACTGTGATCACAACCTAGTCTTACCCACTGATATAATGAACCTGTCCCATACACTAACGAGATGGTTTTCACATTTGTACAGAAATACTTTGATCAGAATACTAATGTTGACAGTTAATCTAGAGAAAACTCAAATTGTTGTTTTTAGAAGAGGTGGACCCTTAGTGAGAAATGAGAAATGATTTTATAAAGGGGAACGTGTCTTAACAGTTGATTCATATAGATATCTAGGTATTCCTTTTTCATCTTCTTGTAAGTTCAATAAATGTATATTATATTTATCATCTCAGGGTATAAGGGCACTTCTAGAATTACTACACCACTTATAAATATGATAATGTTGACTATTCTGTATTTTTCAAAATATTTGATACCCAAATTCAACCAATCCGTTTGTATGGTGCCGACGTATGGGGTATTATTGATTGATTGAAAATGTACATTTAACTGTATTTAAGAAGTTCTTAAATGTTGGTCCCCAAACACCAAATGTAATTGTTTATGGTGAATGTGGACGTTACCCAATGTAAATAAATGCACAACGGCGTTTCATAAAATACTGGCTTAAACTTGTAAAATTACATCAACAAAGAATTCCAAAAAAAGCTTATGATATGCTAATGCATTACGATAATTGTGGTTATGATAACTATGTTTCATATGTGCGTAATTTATTGTTTTCATATGGATTTGGTTATGTTTGGTTATTTCAAGGTGTTGGTAATGAATCCCAGTTTCTTCAAATGTAAGGTTGCAGTTGACATGTATATACTCATGGAATAGTATAATTGAAGAAAGTTCAAGGTATAAGCTGTACAGACAATTTAAAACCCTTTTAGAGTCAGAAAAATATTTAGATATGTTAACAAATAAGAAACACAGAAATATTCTTACTAGGATCAGAGATTTTGCACGCATGTTTTTACGATGTTCACTTTGATCAAAACAGGATTCTAGATGTTTTATGTTTTTGAGTTTTCATTAACCTAATGGAGTTGCTTCCTTCTTAACATTGTTTTTCCAACATAAACAATATAAAATAAAGTCAGTGTCATTATCCATAATCTCTTCGCTTTGTGTTTGGATTAGTACATTTAGACTGGTCCATTAATTAACGAAGGTAAGAGTGTAGTGACCAACCAACCAACCATAACCTTTGTTGTTTTAACGCGTCTAACTTTTGGGACGTCTAACTTTTGGGAGGACACCTCTTGGAACGCGACCCTGTGTATGCCAGTGTGTCTGTTTACATGAATGTGCAGAAGTGTGTAAATGTCGCGCCTGATGTCATAAGCGGGAGGAAAATATTAGCGTCTTGAGCTGTGAGTCAGTATCTGTCAGTATGGGCGATGATCCACGCTGACAGTGTACATTGGGTTGTACATGTAGCCAACCAATCCATATTAGTTCCCAGCTAATCCTTTTTCTGTGCATTGTTGTTTAACGCCACACTCAGCAATATTCCAGCTATATGGCTGCGGTCTGTAAATAATCGAGTCTGGACGAGACAATCCAGTGATCAAAAGCATGAGCATCAATCTACGATACTGGGATACGATGACATGTGAGTGGGTGACTTGAGAGCATGCTTTATGTCATTGTGAGTGAGTGGGTGACTTGAGAGCATGCTTTATGTCATTGTGAGTGAGTGAGTGGGTGACTTGAGAGCATGCTTTATGTCATTGTGAGTGAGTGTGGGTGACTTGAGAGCATGCTTTATGTCATTGTGAGTGAGTGGGTGACTTGAGAGCATGCTTTATGTCATTGTGACTTGTGAGTGAGTGAGTGAGTGACTTGAGAGCATGCTTTATGTCATTGTGAGTGAGTGGGTGACTTGAGAGCATGCTTTATGACTTGAGTCATTGTGAGTGAGTGTGACTTGAGAACATGCTTTATGTCATTGTGAGTGAGTGGGTGACTTGAGAGCATGCTTTATGTCATTTGAGTGAGTGAGTGAGAGAGAGCATGCTTTATGCTTTATGTCATTGTGAGTGAGTGAGTGACTTGAGAGCATGCTTTATGTCATTGTGAGTGAGTGGGTGACTTGAGAGCATGCTTTATGTCATTGTGAGTGAGTGGGTGACTTGAGAGCTTTATGCTTTTGATGTCATTGAGCTTGATGCTTTATGTCATTGTGAGTGAGTGGGTGACTTGAGAGCATGCTTTATGTCATTGTGAGTGAGTGGGTGACTTGAGAGCATGCTTTGTGTCATTGTGAGTGTGAGTGAGAGCATGCTTTATGTCATTGTGAGTGGGTGACTTGAGAGTGGGTGAGAGAGCATGCTTTATGTCATTGTGAGTGAGTGGGTGACTTGAGAGCATGCTTTATGTCATTGTGAGTGAGTGGGTGACTTGAGAGCATGCTTTATGTCATTGTGAGTGAGTGGTTGACTTGAGAGCATGCTTTATGTCATTGTGAGTGAGTGGGTGACTTGAGAGCATGCTTTATGTCATTGTGAGTGAGTGGGTGACTTGAGAGCATGCTTTATGTCATTGTGAGTGAGTGGGTGACTTGAGAGTGAGTGAGTGAGTGGGTGACTTGAGAGCATGCTTTATGTCATTGTGAGTGAGTGGGTGACTTGAGAGCATGCTTTATGTCATTGTGAGTGAGTGGGTGACTTGAGAGCATGCTTTATGTCATTGTGAGTGAGTGGGTGACTTGAGAGCATGCTTTATGTCATTGTGTGAGTGAGGTGACTTGAGAGCATGCTTTATGTCATTGTGAGTGAGTGGGTGACTTGAGAGCATGCTTTATGTCATGCTTTATGTCATTGTGAGTGAGTGGGTGACTTGAGAGCATGCTTTATGTCATTGTGAGTGGGTGACTTGAGAGCATGCTTTATGTCATTGTGAGTGAGTGGGTGACTTGAGAGCATGCTTTATGTCATTATGAGTGAGAGAGCATGCTTTATGTCATTGTGAGTGAGTGGGTGACTTGAGAGCATGCTTTATGTCATTGTGAGTGAGTGGGTGACTTGAGACTTGAGAACATGCTTTCATTGTGTCATTTGAGAGCATGCTTTATGTCATTGTGAGTGAGTGGGTGACTTGAGAGCATGCTTTATGTCATTGTGAGTGAGTGGGTGACTTGAGAGCATGCTTTATGTCATTGTGAGTGAGTGGAGTGACTTGAGAGCATGCTTTATGTCATTGTGAGTGAGTGACTTGAGAGAATGCTTTATGTCATTGCGAGTGACTTGAGAGAATGCTGTGTCATTATGTATGATGTCATTTTATGTCATTGTGAGTGAGTGGAGTGAGTGACTTGAGAGCATGCTTTATGTCATTGTGAGTGAGTGGTGACTTGAGAGAGGGTATACACCAATATACGATGCTTTATGTCATGATGATGATGATGATGATGATGATGATGATGATGATGATGATGATGATGATGATGATGATGATGATGATGATGGTGTTGGTGTTGGTGATGATGATGATGATGATGATGATGGTGGTGATGATGATGATGATGATGGTGGTGTTGGTGGTGGTGTTGGTGGTGTGTTGGTGATGATGATGATGATGATGATGATGATGATGATGGTGGTGGTGCTGGTGGTCTTGATGATGACGATGATGACGATGATGATGATGTCGGAACTTCGACACATTGCTCTATGTCTGTTTCGGTTATTTTGTAAAACGTTTTTTTACATTCTGTCATTTAAACGTTGTTTGAATAATTCATTCTCACTGTGTAAGGAAAATACCAAGAAAAGCCTCTTACAAATACACTGTCGATTGTAGGAGACAGTCGCCCAGCCAATAACGTTTATAACATGACATGGAATCAGTACTGAGATTCTCCAAATAACATCAATCATGCAATCACAAACGTAACAACGGACACGAGATGACTCTGAGGACACTTATTCCCAGAATCTTTTTTCCAAAAACGTGATTGTAATGAAAATATCATTTTGGTGTCCATTTTATACAATGGCTTAGAGGTTTCCAGTACGACTAGCCACACGGAATGTGACGTGGGTTCTCTCGAGTACCCTTGAAATGCGCCCCGCTGACTCTAGCTGATTATTTGCGGAACAGCTCTATCAGCACACTGGCTTAGCTATATAAAGTGATAATCTTGCAAAGATTACCGAAATGATTAAGTATGGCTGACGATGTCGTTGAATTTGTTTCCCAACACTTCTCCGGTCGACCCTGTGTTGTACAAATCCCCGTGCAAACTGCCTTAAGCCGGGGTTCAGTCAGCACTCGCTCACACAAGGGCCGCCATCGGGGGTGCTGTCAAATTTAGTTTTCATTTTTAAAACTATTCATCTCAAGACAAATAGAAATCATTGTTTCCCAAATAACGAGTTCACATACTGTGTACACAGAACCCCTTTCTAAAGTTAGACCGTTCTAAATAACACACCTCCTTTGATGTGTCCAATGATATAAGCACATAATTCCACAACTCCAATCAAATAATTGCCATGCATGTAATCCATTAAAACATTTTGAGAATGCCCCTACTGTTTTTCATCCCGCAATTACACAGAGGTGATAATCTGCAAGAGGAAGGGGTCGTCCTCAACAATTCTTCATCGCGTCCTCCACGACACCAGGTATTTAAACATACCGAAAGTATTAAACTGTTTGTGCAGTATCTCCTTTTAGTATACCTGGAATCACATTGTAAAATGTAATACCCAAACTAACTCCTTTATTGACAGATCGCCGCTCACACCTGGAATCATACGGAGAATTATTTGTCAGTCTCACAGCATCAGTGCTTTTCCAGAGCTGACGCAACAAACACCGCGGCCTTGCAGATACACCCGTGTTGTATGAGGCAATTTATATGAAGAAAATCGCTTGCAAACACTTATATATTCCGATCTATACCGGATTTGTTTCAAGAGTTCATTAAGACCGAATTCAACTCACTTTAGAACCAATTTAAGTCATCTGTTTTGTTTTACGAAACGATTATATTAAAACAGACGGGGCTGAACAAGAAATGGCCACATTCAAATGGCGAGTGGAAGCGAATAGAACAAAATATGCTGTTGTTATAGATTATTCGAAAGATGATATGCGCGTTTGCATCTTGTTGTCTATTGAACATTACACACGGGAATAACCCTACCTTTTCATTAATAAGAACGTACGAGAACCCGTATTGTAAATATGTTTATGGTTCTTATTCACGAGCCAACGGTTACGATTAAGTTTTGTAACGCATAAATACTTTATCAAATTTGAAGTACACCCCATCTCAGCAGGCGTTGACCAAAATGCACGAGAAATGTGTAGATGATCATTATGCACGTGCTACACGCACGCTCCATTGCAGGTTGATCTTTACAATCCACTGAACAAGGTTGTTCATTTCTCAACAGGATCCCACACGAGTATTGTATAAATCACGTGTAGACACAAGCTTTGCAGGATAATTGGGAGAGTAGAGACAAGAAGCTTATCCATTGTAATACCATTTCACTTCAAGAATTTGACAGAAGTTTCGTGTAGCATAATGTAACACATCATACATATTATTTACTGAGCTTTTAGATATTAAAATATTTTGAAATAGTTACTCAAGAATTATCCAACTCTATCAGAGTAACCTAAGAACCCACTCATTCAGGATAACCCTATAAACTCATTCAGGATAACCCTATAAACCACTCATTCAGGATAACACTATAAACCACTCATTCAGGAAAACTATAACACTCATTCATGATAACCCTATAGCCCACTCACTCATGATAACCCAATAACCCACTCACTCAAGATAACGCTATAAACCACTCATTCAGGATAACGTTATAACCCACTCATTCACGATAGGACCGCCTCCGTGGTGTAGTGGTTAGAGCGTCCGCCCGGAGAGCGGAAGGTCGCGGGTTCGATCCCCGACCGCGTCAAACCAAAATACGTTAAAATATGGTACTTGTTGGTCCCTGCCTGGCGCTCGGCATTCATGGGTACAACAAGGACTGGTCGGCTCGGAGTCAGTATAATGTGTCTGAGTGGGATATTCATGCTTCACTGCGGCATGGTATCTCAATGGGCTAGCACTATAAAACCAGCTTAAGTCTGGGCTAGTACAAGCAGCCGCACATACACATACACACGCATGCACGTCGTCATATGAGCGAAATATCCTCAAGCACGACGTTAAACCCAATTTCACCTCACCTCATTCACGATAACCCCATAGCCCACTCATTTATGACCCTATAGCCCACTCTCTCAATATAACCCAATAACCCACTCACTCAAGATAACCCTATATTCCACTCTTTTATGATAACCATATAGCCCACTCACTCATTATAACCCAATAACCCACTCACTCAAGATAACCCTATAGCCACTCACTCATTATAACCCAATAACCCACTCATTCAGGATAACCCTATAACCCACTCATTCAGGATAACCCCATAACCCACTCATTCAGGATAACCCTAGAACTCACTCATTCAGGATAACCCAATAACAGACTCATTCAAGATAACCCCATAACACACTTACTAATGATTACCCTAGAACCCACTCATTCAGGCTAGCCTCGTGGTTTAACACTCGTCACGCCGAATTCGATATAATATTCCCTCATGGGTACAATGTGTGAAGCCCATTTCCAATAACAGACTCATTCAGGATAACCCTAGAACTCACTCATTCAGGATAACCCCATAACACACTTACTAATGATAACCCTAGAACCCACTCATTCAGGCTAGCCTCGTGGTTTAAGTGTTCGCTCGTCACGCCGAAGACACGGGTTCGATATAATATTCCCACATGGGTACAATGTGTGAAGCCCATTTCTGGTGTCCCCCGCCGCGATATTGCTGGAATATTGCTAAAAGTCACGGGGTAGCTTCTACTTCACAGGCACCCTCAGGGGATTTCATACAAGTTTGACTCACTGTAGAAAAGCAAGCTTGTAAGAAGACACTTCTTGACATTCGTTATCGCCACAATTAGCACCAAGCTGAATATTATGATAACAAATATGTGCATTGTGTACAAGTGTACATTGCTTGCACGAACTGTACGCCGTGTGTGCATTAAATGGGAGGGACGGTATTTACCCACGGGTGCACACGCTATGCATGTACTTGATGAGCGATTCCGTCCTGCCACATCAACTTCCCAGCCCGAGGCTGCTCCCGTCCTGCTCCCGTCTCGACACAGGCGTTGTGGCCTGGGGCACAGGCTTTCACAACATATTGTCGAGCAGATAAATATGCATACACCAACTTTGATAAAAAGTAACCCGTTCCAGTATTCTTTTGAAACGTTACTAAATATAAATGACGGCCCTTCTCTACTACTCAGTATTGACATATTTCCACACACCTTGGTCTCTTGCTGATTGAATAGGCGACGAAGAATGGAAAAATTATAATATATTCAGTACATATATTTCAGAGCCATCGCCCTTCCTTCGTGCGTTAGGGGCGGTGGGGTAGCCTAGTGGTTAAAGCGTTGGCTCACGACGCCAGATCCCGAGTTCGAATCCTCACATGGGTACAATGTGTGAAACCCATTTCTGGTGTCCCCCGCCGTGATGTTGCTGGAATAATGCTAAAAGCAGCGTAAAACAAAACTCAGTCAGTCAGTCAGTCAGTCCTTCGTGCGTTAACGAGCTGCTTGAAGAGTTATAAAACATTTGTTTCCGTTGCAAATTATTGTACGAATGCTTCAGACACTCCAATGCTCAACACCACATTCAGCAATGCTGGGGCGGATAGTTCTAGTTTGGACGCGGGGTCATTTTTACATTGCTTAAAGGTCACATGCAACCAAAAAATCAAACATAATTAAAACACAATTATCACTTATTCATGACATATAATATATATTGCTGGTTATGAAAAAACATATAAACAAAATTATAAGCGTACAATCGCAAATCAAAAGTGCAATATTGTGTACTTGGGTTTACTTCCCAAGAAACGAAGCACCCGGGATACCGAACCCAGTCAGAGCGGGCGGGTGTGCACTCAAGTGTAACGGCTGGTTCATTTGCAGATGCCCTCACGGCTCATTGTGTGTGTATATATAGAGATGTTGGGTTTTGTAAATACATGCTCATTTTTTGTGTATAACATTTTGCAATCGACAGACATCATAACATGTCATGTGTTCAAGTATCACACCTACCTGTCTGTGTAATTACATAATGTGACAGAGACCGAACTCGGGCCATAAATCAATGCGTTTTGTTTATGGTGAATAGCCTGATTGGTGTTAAGTTCAAATTGCATGTGGACAGTGATCGCAGTTGTGTTTTGAATATTGTCATTAGCAGACAGGCAGGCAGACACATAGGTGTCAATAAAACAACACCATTGAGTTTTGTCTGTGACAACGACATATTTATATCACAGTTAGAAATTCTGTCAACGCTAAATGATGACATTGCTTTTAAGTATCGAACTGAGAAAGTGACTCGGTAAGAAGAACGTGTGGTGAAATAGACAAATGAAATTATATAAACAGTTTATTTACTGTCATAACATATAAAAAGCTAGCGCCTGTGAGATATCAACAAAACATGAGGAAAATAGCTCACACCAAAGCCTTCACCGAGTATTCACCAGACAGCCCGCTTCCAAGTTGCGCGAACCTATTTCACTGCGCACGTGCTATGAGCGCAGCACAGCTGTTGAAACCAGTTTTCCCCAGACAAGTCGGGGGAAAATTAGTGAATCGTTTGAACTCCGATTTCGCGCGGTTTTTTTCATCGCGTTATTTTTCAACTTTATAAGTTGAATTTGCATTTTTGATGATTTGTTTCGGTAAGTCCATACCGAAAGGTATCAGAATCTGCAAAGTTGTGTTTTACGTTGCATGTGAAAAAGTCTTCATTATATATTTATAGATGAAATACTACACTTATCCGGAACTATAAAAGTACACAGTCAAACACCGTTGTCTCGAAGCTGAAGGGACCTATGTTTATACTTCGTGTGATCCGAGACTCGATACAACTGCAAAATGGTGACTGAAGAAGGAATATGCGAAACCAAGCTTTCATTTCGTCGCAACCGTAAGCTCGACACATCAGGAACACGTTTGGCCGGAACTACTTTCACTCTGACTGATTGATGCTATAGTATTCTGATGTGTAACATCAGTGAGAAAATGTATGAATAAAAGTCGAATAGTTTTATCATCAATACTATACGAGAATATGTCTTTGTATCTTCTTTTAATCTCTTAGAGTTTTGGGCGAACACTATCTGTGTTATTCATGTCCAAAACACGTTTCGAGTTGTCTTAAAATCTTCTTTTAATAAGTAGTTGAAAATCAAGTAGCCTTCGCGCGAGGAGAAAAGTATCAGTTAAACGAAACGGCAGTAATATCCTCAATGTCGGCTCTGATGTGTCAGTGATATGTGCAAAATGTTTTACATGCTGTACCAAAGAGGCCTGATGGATGTGGAGGAGGAAATGTGTTTAGAGTTATAAGAGTTTGTAAAAAGATCTGGGAAATTAGTATTATATGGCTATGAAGAAAAGACTTTTACTTTCTTTCGGTGACGATTTTATATATTGGACAAATTTTCTTCTGAGAGAAATAGGTGCGAGATCAGTGTGACATTTAACCTGTGTGGTATATGAAAACTTCCGTATTCATTTTTTGCATTTTAGTAGCTCAGCGCGCGTGTGTGTGTGTGTGTGTGTGTGTGTGTGTGTGTTAAAAGTAAAGTAAGTTTAGTGTCAGAAAATACTTACTATACTACAGATAACATGGTTTATTTAGATTCATTCATGCATAAAACATCAGACTTTTCCAAATGTGAACATCCTGTGATCACTTCTTCTCACAAAGTGATTTGCTGTTTCTCTCGGGTTGAGGTTGTCTGTTTGGTCCCTGTGCACATGAAGAACCATCGAGTTGTTCAGACGCCTTTGGGTCATGGTGGATCTCAGATATGTCTTCAACCTCCTAAGGCTACCGAAGGACCTTTCACTCGTTGAGTTTGTTGAGGGCATTACTTGGATGAGCGTTATAACAGTGACAACTCCCGTGAAGAGACTGACACTTGTCTCCTTCACGTGGGCCATCACGCCTGAGACATCCGACTCTTTGCTTTTCGACATATTCGTTGACAGAATAATCCACTGTGTTGCAAAAACGGAACTATCAATATCTGATCCATAGAGTTTGGAAACAAAGTCACATTCGCTTGTGTAGTCTTTTCCTGCAGCATCATTAAGGAGTAGAGTCTCCAGGGTAGAGCTAATATCCAGGTTGACTAAACCTGTCTCTGATGCAGCTGGTGACCAAATGTAGAGCCATGAAATATACTTGTCTGTAATACTCCTCTACTCTCTGAGGTACACGAGGAGGTGCTCCATCATCTATTCTCTTCGGTGGCCTTTTCTCCCTTGGTAGAACTGGCTTAGGCACATCAAGTTGTGTGGCTTTGATTTTCTGGTTTTGCCAGAAGAGAGAGAAGTGTTCATCATTTCTGAGGCTTTCTCAGACAGCTACGGTTGCAGAAGCCATCTTCTGTCCACACGCAGCTGATATGTTTCACTGGAGAGATTTGCTGAGATTGTAACTGATTGTGAAGTTAAATGTTCCCATGTATGCAGACACTCCTCTAATTCGACTTTTCATCTCCGAATCTTTGACATATTGGATAGCTTCATCCCATACTTTTAACAGCACATCGTAGTTAGCCATAACACTTTAGATGGTGTCTGCTTTCACATTCCACTTTGTTGGACATAATACACAGATGCCCAAAGAATGTAGCACATTCACATTTTCCTTGATCTTTTTGAAAAGAACGTCTTGGAGATTCTTTCATCAGTTTGGTGATCTCGTGTATGATGTCCAGTGTGTCCCGATGAAGGTTGCAATTTTGTATGATATCTGAGCATGCAAGATTAAGTGTATGACCATAGCAATGAGTGGTTCAATACCCATGCTATTAAAATAGCATAAAAGCTACTCATTTTTTCACCTTGCCATATTTGCTGCCATATCATAACATTGCCCTCTAACCAATTCAGAGTCAACCTGCGGAGAACATCATTGATTGCCTCAATAGCTTCAATGTTTGCTACCTCGTAGAATCCAACAAAGTCTTCATGTCCATCAAAGTTCACATCAATCCATCTGATGCAGACTACAAGTTGCTCTTTATTAGACACATTGAAAAGAAAGTATTTTCTTTACAGGTTGTATCACCTCTGGCAAGACTGTGTTTGCCATAATATCAAGGAGATTTTTGTATCTCAGGCGAGGTATACCTATCGGTTTTCCTTTTCAAGCAATTACTCAGAATAGGATCATCTTTGGCTTGGAAGACAAGTAACGGAAGAAAGTTTGAATGAGTCTCAGATTTGTCACCTCTGAGAGCTAGTCCTTGACGAGCAAGAAACTGTAGACATGACAGGATTTTTAGAAGACATTGTCTTTTGTATGCAGAGGCAATACAACTACTCTTTCCACTGCTTCTTGATGATTTTACTTTTTTTCATATTTCCCAATTTTCTCAGTAGCCTTTTCCCAGTTGTATCGGTCAAAAATGAAAGCTTTCTCTGTGAAAGAGTTAGAGAGTTTATTTTCTTTGATTGTGTTAATGCAAGTGAACCAAGATACACTATCTGAGTGTTCATCATAATGAAGTCACTTCCATTTCTGGAACCACCCAGTCTGGCATGTTCTCTTGTGGGTACCAATCTTACGTTTAGGAAATAGTTCCTGTGAATGATGTGGTTGGTTACCAACATCTGGAATGTTTGTTTCCTTTGCATCAACATGCTTTACACTTTTAAATGCGTCACTTTTGATTGCTTCCTATAAGTCTTCACTGACATTGAAATCAGAAACAGATGGTGTACAATTGTTTTCATTCATTGATTCATTTTCACTATCTTTTCCTTGCAGAGCAGTGGAATGTTTCTTGACACCTCGTTGAAAATAGTCAAAAATGCTTTTCTTTCTCTTTTTCTCAACATGTTGTTCATCTACTTTACCACTGCTTTTATCTTGTACTTGCAAGCAAATGAACCAGCGGACAAAATGATTTGGCTGGAAGATATCTCCAGGTCTGTTGTCAAGCATGCTCGAGTCCATAAACTGTACGGATGTCGATCCATACTACGAGGTTCTGAACACATTAAAGTTCCATTCAAAACTGTCCTCGTTACATATTGGACACCAGGGTATACAGACACAATCTCACAGTACTCCTTCAGCACATCTCCTAAAGCACACATATGTAGAAATGAGTAACATTGCCTGTCACGGCAGTTCTGAGCTTCAAATAATATTGCTCTCTCAAAATCGTTAGCTTCATCAAATATTCCCCAACTCTCATCTGAAAGCAACAAGTTTATATAAGCCCAGTATCCTTTGTCTTTGCACCTTGACATCATACTGGTGATAGTTGGACCAGGGAGAGTATAAGACCCCCGTTTCAAATAAAGTTCTGCACTAACTAAAATGCGAAGACATTTGGAAAGAGATCCATACTGAATTATACAGACAATTTCCATCTCCTGTACTTTTGTATCCTCTGTAATTTTCAGAATGAACTGAGAAATCAGGAGGAATTAATGAGGTGGAAACTTCATCAATAATCAAAGATGATTTTTCAGCATTCAACATAACATTTCTGTTCAGAAAGTTTTCTTCTTTCCTCTGAGTATATACAATAAACATTTCGTCACGTCTGCAAACATTTTCCTCCATGTCCATTACTGTACTTGCACTGCACTATCAAAGTAATGCTTGATGGACATGTGACACTCCGGTGCCAACAAACTCACTGTCACTTTCTATAAATAGCTATGATGAAACCTCTAAAAGACCTCACTTACACTGAATTTTCTGCATGAAAGGGTGATAAATGACTTGTAACAATTAATGATGTTTCATAATTTAAGAAATTATTAATAGTTTCTTATTTGGCACCCACACATCGTTATAAAGAATCAGTTTTTGTTTCAATTTATCACATTTGCTCCTGTTGCTGCGGGCCTGTATTCAGACATTTTTGTGAGATTTTTAACAGATTTTTATTTTTATTTTTCACATGAACCCAGTTTGGCGTGAGATTTATCAGTTTTGGCGTGAGAACGTGACATGAGTGGTGAATGCGCGAGTCTCAAGTCCAGTGCGTTAGTATGACAGCATTCAAGGTCGTACCTGCAATAGAATGCAGTTTCGCGTCATGATAAGAGCCAAGGTGACTTACATTAACCATTTGTCTGTATTCCACTGGCCAGTTAAGAGCCGGGTCTTCAGCAACCAATACTTGTAAGAGGCGACTAACGGAACCGGAAGTCAGACTCGCTGACCTGGTGGATGTATGTCAGTGTATGCAAATTACGTCGATCTTCGTAATGTCAATCACTTGATTGTCTGGTCCGGACTCGATTTTTACAGACCGCCGTCATATATCTAGAATATTACCGAGGGCGGCGTTAAACATTAAACAAAGAAATACCTAAAACATTTGTATAGCATTCAAATTGGGGTGACAATTATGAAAAATCGAATATCCAGTGTATTATAATTATACCCTCCCGTTGTGACAAACACCCTGGATTAGTTCGTTGCCAAGGCTTCTTTTCAGAAATGACGTCGCCAGTAATATCACGGCGGGAGACACCAGAAATGGGCTTCACACATTGTACCCATGTGGGGAATCGAACCAGGATCTTCGGCGTGACGAACGCTTAACCACTAGGCTACCCCACGCCCCCATATGAGGAGAGGTACAGGGTATACAAGACCTTAGTGTAGGTAGTCATTAGATCAGAATGGAGACATAACACAGTTGATAATAGAGTATCCGTCTAGGAACGTTTAATTCTGATATTAAGAGCTAAATATATTAAGAGTACATCAGTATGAAATCAGTATGACTGGACCCCTTGAGGGGTGGGGTTAATGGGGTGTAAACGTACATGGCTGTTTTGTAGGGCATGGGCGTCATGTATCGACGGTGACTAAGGCAAACGGTATTGAATGACACGGGACGCTCTGTTAAACCCAACTTGTGTTTAGGTTATCTTCAGGAAACCAAGCACTGCGATAGCGCATTGATAAACTGTTTAACGCGTAGATGGGGCATGTTTAGGCGTCTTCTCGAATATTTTATCGCGCATTTGCTTTGTTCTTTCCTTTGGATATGTGCTTTTATTGCATAGCAGTGCTGTTACAATGATCGTATAATAGCCCATACGTGCCTGGGTGGTGAGTGAAAGTATCATAGCCGATACATGCCTGGGTGGTGAGTTCAAGTAAACGTTTGGAAACCGGTTTAGATTTTATGCAATATTTTACTGGGGGTTGTCCATGTCCTCTGTGTATATCACCAGTGTATGAAATAAGGCCCGTCCGACTGCCCGTGACGGTCTAGATTTCTGACGGACGGTCTAAATTTACAGCTAGCCAGCCAGATGGTCTGATAAAATTGTTAGATGTTCCATATATCTGAGTTGATTCGCCATATTTGGTCTGGTTAAATCCATTTTAGGCTGGTAACATTTTGAAGTAACCAGCCCTGATGTCTGGCTGGATTTTTGGCTTATTTCATACACTGAATTACATGTCACTGCTTTCCTCTGTGTTTATTACATGTACACGCTACTGCTTTCCTCTGTGTATATTACATGTTACTGCTTTTCTCTGTGTATATTACATGTACACGCTACTGCTTTCATCTGTGTATATTACATGTTACTGCTTTCCTCTGTGTATATTACATGTCACTGCTTTCCTCTGTGTTCATTACATGTACACGCTACTGCTTTCATCTGTGTATGTTTCATGTTACTGCTTTTCTCTGTGTATATTACATGTTACTGCTTTCCTCTGTGTATATTACATGTTACTGCTTTCCTCTGTGTATATTACACGTTACTGCTTTCTTCTGTGTATATAACACGTTACTGCTTTCTTCTGTGTATGTAAGACGTTACTGCTTTCTTCTGTGTATATTACATGTTACTGCTTTCTTCTGTGTATATTACACGTTACTGCTTTCTTCTGTGTATATTACACGTTACTGCTTTCTTCTGTGTATATTACACGTTAATGCTTTCTTCTGTGTATATTACATGTTACTGCTTTCCCCTGTGTATATTACATGTTACTGCTTTCTTCTGTGTATATTACATGTTACTGCTTACCTCTGTGTATATTACACGTTACTGCTTTCTTCTGTGTATATTACACGTTACTGCTTTCATCTGTGTATATTACATGTTACTGCTTTCATCTGTGTATATTACATGTTACTGCTTTCTTCTGTGTATATTACACGTTACTGCTTTCTTCTGTGTATATTACACGTTACTGCTTTCTTCTGTGTATAGTACACGTTACTGCTTTCTTCTGTGTACATTACACGTTAGTGCTTTCTTCTGTGTATTTTACATGTTACTGCTTTCATCTGTGTATATTACACGTTAGTGCTTTCTTCTGTGTATATTACACGTTACTGCTTTCATCTGTGTATATTACACGTTACTGCTTTCTTCTGTGTATATTACACGTTACTGCTTTCTTCTGTGTTTATTACATGTTACTGCTTTCTTCTGTGTTTATTACACGTTAATGCTTACCTCTGTGTATATTATATGTTACTGCTTTCTTCTGTGTATATTACATGTTACTGCTTTCTTCTGTGTATATTACACGTTACTGCTTTCTTCTGTGTATATTACACGTTACTGCTTTCTTCTGTGTATATTACACGTTACTGCTTTCTTCTGTGTATATTACAGGTTAGTGTATTTAGACTGGCAGTCACATTGAGATGGTACTAGTATATGGATGCGAAGAAACATGAATTCGCGACGTATTATCCGGTCTGTAATGAAGTTTTAACATTCGCTATCATCACCTATGAACAGTAATGTGACAAATAAACTTTTTTGTAAACGAAAAAAGTGAAATCGTGACATATTTCATAATCGACATTCACTTAAACTTTCCTGATACTCTTCCTTGCCCTTCGAATGCTAATATGTATGTATCGACATGAGGACAATGTATAACAAACTGACTTCTGTCTAAACACGGATAGGCACGGCCACTATAGTCTGTAAGTCCGAGACAAATGAAAAGTCGGAGGGGCTAACTGTTTCGTCTCAGAATTTAATGATAAGATAAAAAAATTAGTCCGAGGTGACCAACAGCGCCTTCTCCTGCTGAGCGATCACCACCCCTTGATATGGGCAAAGTCCACAGTGTGTGTATGTAAACTCTGATAACGACGAATCGCGGTATGAACTCCACTTCCCACAAAACGTATCATGCGTTCTCTTCTCTGCTATGGTTCAATTTATGCACAACAAAATATTCCTTTTGTTAGAGTTTGAAAAAATTGTCCTAATGTACTTAGGTATTCATTTTCCTAACCTTCAACACGAATTAGGTGAGATATAAACAGACGCTTGTGAGATAACGAGCTTTTAATGCATCAGAGATAAGGCGTACCCAAGGGGGACAACTCTACAACTCGTGCGTTCCTTCACGCACCAGATGTCGTCAATAGATCCACGGCCAGGCAGCCAGGCATTGAGTGTTTTATTACTCAAATAGTTTGTGTGTCATGTCCTGTCCTGAATAGTAGCGAGTCCACATTGGAGGCAGACGTCACAGAGAGCTTACTGACACCAAGTAAGTTGCTATATATTTCTTATTCTACAACACTTACATTTTAAAACAATAACGCCAGAAATGTTGAGTACTCATACAATCTTAAAGATGATCATGCAATGAGTTTGTCAATGTAAATCAACACGGGTTATATGTTGTCAATCTTGAGATTACTGGTGTGATAGTCATTGGGTAACATCGTTCGGTGAACTGGTGAAAGATGGTACGGCCATGGACATGTGCGACATCAACGGTATACGACATCTACGGTTTATACGACACCGTGTGTCGTCTAGAGATCATGTGTACATAGTATGTCGACCACGATAATGAAGTGACTTGGTTGATCGATAGGAAGGCAAGTGGCCAGGCGGCAGCTGTGAAATCTTTGATGTTTGAATGTTATGTAGGTATTCACTAACCACTGGTATGCATAGCCGTACACAAATAAACATATTTTTATTGACCCATACAGCCACTCAGGGTTTCAGGATATATGGCTCTCTCCAACTAGTACCTACTGTACAGCTCTGGGTGCCGTTGTACAGAGCAACCTTAGCGCTAAGACTACCGTCAGTCTATGTTAAGATATGGGAGTTATGGTCACAATGGCACCCTGGAACCACTGTTTTGTAGATCCTGGCTGTCAGAGTTGAAAGCTAGTCTATTGTGCACAGTGACCATGTCTGTAATAATGGCATCATGTAACCTGACATTTTTAAATACATGTCCAATGTCATAAATATATCTTAGAATTTAATAGCTTGCACAAAGGGGAGGTAACTGTTCTTTTGTTGTTTTCAACATCAGCAGTTGTCTCCCCTTATGTTGTTTGCTTCATGACTGATTACTTGTTTTGCCCACTGGAAATGTTAATTTTAAAGTAGTGGGGGAAAATTGGAATATTGAATGGAGATCATCAGACATATTCAAATGGCTGATAGTAAGACTTTTTCCCCTTACACAAGCAACTTTTGAACTTTAGACATGATCGGCTATCAAAGGGAAAACAATTATTATTTTTTACATATGACATGAATATCTTTTATGAAAATCACCTGGGGTAAAGACTTTGCTGCAAGTATAGCAGAGTCTATGTGGACATAGATCACCAACACTCTGCTGGGTGTGAGGTTGTTTATTTTGGTGGATGTGATATTGATAAACAATAAACAACACCCTGTAACAATAAATATAATAATATAATATACATCTCACACAATTCATGCAAGGTACATATAATTCCATACACGGGTTAATACATATGGACAATTACCATTAATACTGTAGTTACTCAAAGCATGAATACCATTACTTAAGACACATATGAAATATTGGAATTATGATATTACATCATTACGAATAACGTTATGACAATACATGCATACAATGTAATACACACAAGATAGATAATAATACACTATTACACATTAGTCGTAATGATAATGTACACATGATTCATCACCACGCATTACGTTACGTGATGGCACTATATACAAATACATGGATATATAAATTATACATATACACATACCCTGTGGGTGGTACAAGGGTGTACACCAATCGGGCACAGCACCAGTCGTATGGACGGGGACTTATCTGCTGTAAATAATATTAAATGATAAATAATATACAATGTAATGTGGAGTAGATTTAGGGCTACATTCATGAACATAAAATTACATCCCCACATTGATAATTACACTTATAGTTATCATAGTTAAAACATAGCAACTTATATTAAAACACATTCTCTCATCTCACACATTCAGTGAAAGGGATAGTAAAGATACTTATTTACGTTTATAGCTTAGGTTTGGAAAGCTAGCATAAATACATATAGCACACTTACATGCTATACAATATAATACCTATTTAAATGATAGAAATAGATATACTTTATCATATATATACTAGTATACTGCAAGGATTAAATGCAATATTACTTTAATTAAATGAATACTAACCTTAATGTTACACTGTGTGTCTGTCCAAGCTGTCTTCACGTGGCAAAGAGTCAGTGCAGAATGAGTGAAATTGTGCATGGAGTTAGTGAGACCAATCAGCTCATGGCTTGAGCAAATTAGTGAGAGAGGCCAAGCTCTAAAGCTTAACCCTTAAACTGCCTAGAAATAATATAGCTAAAAGGAGAGAAGAATAATAAGATTGAAATAATATATTTACACTAAATACACCTGCCACATACTTTCCCCAACTATGAAATGACGTCCTAGTCATTTCTGGCTAGTGATGAGCTCAATCATTGCTTCTCTAATGTTGGCTGGCTGGTTCTCGATCATCCCGTCTTGTAGAACTGCAGACAGGAAGTTAGCTCTGATGAGCCAATCCAGTGGTGTCGTAGTCTGTGCTGTTGTCTGCGCCGATAGGGTGAACTCTCCGGTGGCCATCGTTCCCTGAGGGATCTCCGCGGTTGTGGCGTCAGTGCTGCCCTTGGCTCAGCAACTTCTCTGTCAGGTGGAACATCCACATGCTCATCGGGACGGTCTTCTATCGGTTGCTCCTGCTCAGCCTCCTGAGTAGTGTCTCCTGTCCTTTCCTCTCCATCGACTTGAACCACATCCAGAACATCCTCAGCTGGTTCCTCTTCAGGTCGCCTGTCAGCTGGTGCAGTAGCTGATCCTGAACTGTCGGATGGGTCGGTGGAGACAATCACTACTTCCTCCTCTCCTTCTTCTGAAAGTCCGTCCTTGGAGATGCTAGCTGTGGTGTTGTCTGGTATGTCTTGGATATCCTGTGGCACTTGGTGGTGGCAATGACTTCCGTTTCCTTTGCTTCGGTGTTGGCACTTCATCCTGATGGGGAAGAAATCCTATTGGAAGCAATAGGTTCCTGTGCAGTGTCTTCTTCCTGCAGTCACCATTCTCCTTACCAATGGTGTATACTGGTATGGATGGATTAGGCTGCTCCAGAATCACATACAAATCCTCCTCCCATCGGTCCGCAAGCTTGTGCCGTCCGTCAAATGCAAGGATCTTCACCAAGACTCTGTCTTCTTCCTCTAACACAGCTGCCCTGGCTCTCTGATCATAGTGAGTCTTCTACCTCTTCTGTGACTTCTTAGCTCTGGAGGAGGCAATGTCGTAGGCTTGAGTGAGTCGTTCCTTAAGGTCCCTGGTATATGCTGCTGTGGTCCTCGACTTGCTTGGCTCCATGTCAAGTCCGAAGGCGATTATGTGGATTCGAAAAGCCGAAATGTACCAGTCCTAATTTATCCTAAATATGAATGTTAAGGAAGCAAATAGTACTAATGTAGGAGAATTTACGGCTATTTCAGGCTAATGTTCACAAATGTTGAATTAACAGTTTATAGACAAGCACAATTATAGATCAGGCATACTTCTGTCAAACACATAATCAAAGTTATTAGTTACTGATATCAGGTTATCGAATTAGTCTTTTCAAATATAAGAGATGTTGAGAGACCCATGAAAGACTTTCACAGATATCCCCGGGTATCTGCAAGAATGTATCATGCCTAGTGCTTGTCATACACAGCAGTAACCTCACACAACGTATACTAGGACTGTCCTGATATGACTGGCTGCCTGTCACATTGTGTATGAGCAATGGAGGGAAGAGATCGAGGCCGGTCCCTGAACTTGAGGCTCGTTTATTGCTTCAGATCATGCTCTGTTGACACCCTAAAGGCTGCAACAAATGGAATGTTTTTCTAAGCTTTTTAAGGGAGAAGAATGCTTCAGTCATATTTTGTGAACAAACTTGTTGAGACAGGTAAAGGTTTTTATTTTTTCGTTACATTATGGATATTGATGAATATGTCTTTTTATTTAAATGTAAAAAAGGACATGCTTTTGAAGCAGTTCTGTGAATCTGTCAACCTTCAAGGGAATATCAAATACCTGCTTATATCACAGCACTCACAGTCAGTAGACATATATGACCCCTATCAAGAATAACACAATATTTGACCTATAACCTCTTTCACACATGAAACATGTTTTCACTCAAGCTCATACCATACTTGCAACATTATTTGTCCTATAAATCTTAAACCAAACACATTATTTCACCTATAAATCCGGCCAGATCCGACACATTATTTGACCAATAAATCACACATCTGACACATTATTTGACCAATAAATCTCACACCTGACACATCATTTGACCCATAAGTCTCAAAACTGACACATTATTTGACCGATAAATCCTGCCAGACCTGACACATTATTTGACCTATAAATCTCACACCTGACACATTATTTGTCCTATAAATCCTGCCACACCTGACACATTATTGACTTATAAGTCTCACACCTGACACATTATTTGACCTATAAATCCTGCCACACCTGACACATTATTTGACCTATGCTTCCACACCTGACACATTATTGACCTATAAATCCTGCCACCTGACACATTATTTGACCTATAAATCTCACACCTGACACATTATTTGACCTATAAATCCTGCCACACCTGACATAATATTTGACCTATAAATCTCACACCTGACACATTATTTGACCAATAGATCTTACACCTGACACATTATTTGACCTATAAATCCTTCCACACCTGACACATTATTTGACCGATAAATCCTACCACACATGACCTATGACCTTTTTAAAGCATGCAACATTATTTTCCCTATTACCCCTCACCACACATGAAATATTGAACCTCTAACCACAAGTCATATTATCTGAAAGTTGAATATCACTCACCCATATCCAGGTGACATACAGCATGGAGTTCTTGATACCAACAACCCTGTTTTCAATTAGAATTCCCATTGTTAGGTATATCACATACAGATCACATTTCACCAGGGGAGCTTTCAAGGTTTGTAGGTCATCTGTTACACTTAGGGTCTCACTGCCCTGGAACTTTATACTTTCCTTTCACACAGCCCTTATTCATTGTATTCATACATTTTTGTAGAATTCTGTAGTGTAGACAACAGTGTAGACATAGCTTTTGTCTTACTGAAAGGTTTGTCTAACAGTTGAGTCCTTCATACCTTAGGCTAG